TACTACCCTACGGGTGTAGTCTAGGAATCTTGAAGAACCTGCATCTGGGCCGGACCGAAGCCCTTTAGATGTCAAGTGGCACAAAGGTGCGTCAGCTGGCAGCGAGGTGGCTGCTTGGAGTTTTGGGGAAACTTGGTTTTGTTTTTTGGGTTGAAACATTCTTTTTCCGGTTGGAGTCGAGATCTCAGTTGCTGTTCAGGGTTCCAGGACGGTTACTTGTTGGCATTGGGAGGCTTCAGGAAACACAAGTTATGAGCCCAAGGAGCTTGTGTAAACCCCCAAAGACTTCTGACATGATGCGTAGACGTAGACCGGATGGCGGCGCTGTCGATGGATCTGGCGCTGAGCAGATGGCAGCGGCTGGCGCGGTGCAAGCGGCGGCAGCTGGTGATCGGCAGATGGCGGCTGCGGGCGCTGAAGGCGATGCAGCACAGGCGCTTGGGGCGAGAGGAGATGCAGCTGAGGGAGGCCTGGAACTGGTTGGACAAGAACTTGTACCAGCTTCTCAAGCCTTGGCCTTGAGGACACCGGATGGGTTGGAGAAAGGGCGAGGGTCAGACGCTGCAAAGGGCTCTAGGTCACCAAGGGCAGCCACAGAACCAGTTAGCCAGGGTCAGAAGTCAAAGGAGGGTTAGTCAGAGGCCAAAAAGGAACCCCAAAAGAAATAGAACCAGAGAAGCGTCAAGAGATGGCAACACCCAGTGGACAGCCAGTTTCACTAGGTCCCCATTCCTTTGTGACACCAGAGGGACAGGTCCAAAGTATGTTGCCACTTTTTTCACCAGAGCAGACGGTGAAACTTCATGAGATCCACCAGATGCCTTTTGCATCGCCTGCGGCTTCATGGAATGGTCCTGCCGTTGGAGAACATGGACACGGGGGAGCTGAGCGACAAGCAGTTCCAGGTTGGTTCACAGGGTTGCTTCAATCAGTAGGATCTCAGCAAGGTGAACATGAGGCGAGGCAAAGGGATTACATGTGGAGAATGCAAGTTGAGCATGGCATAGAACATCTAGGGGTTCAGTTGCGTGCGGCACAGCATGAAAACCAAAGACTTCGTCAAGAGCGTCAAGAGTTGTTGGAAGCCTTGGAAAAGAAGGGATCGTCGAGGTTTACCACACCAGATGACAAAGCAGCCAGCATGTTAAAAAAGGAGGAAGGGGCAGAGTCCCGGCAAGAAAGACCTTCCAAGGAGGAAGGGGCAGGTGCCCGGCAAGGAACACCTTCTAAGGAGGAAGGGGCAGAGGCCCGGCAAGACAGATCTTCTCAGGAGGATGGGGCAGAAGCCCGGCAAGAACAGTCAGAGAGCGATTCGTCTCCTGAGGAGCCGCAAAGAGCAAGCAGGCCAAAGGAGAGCGTTGACAAGCAGTCCATGAGGATCATGCTCAAGTTGATGGAGGGCATGCAGGAGCTTCAGAAACAGATTGTGATCTCCAAGGAGGAAGGAAAAGGTGATGAGATTGAAGTGGTGCGCTATGTGGCGGATCTCCCAAAACTTGCTGAATGGAATCCGGAGACGGCGCCCATCGATTTTGGTGATTGGGTGATTTGTCTGCATCCTCATATGGCAGACTTGAGCTCAACGAGTGAGATGTGGTGGGACTTGACCCTCTCAACAGCGAGGACTTGGTATGATCACCACATGAAGCTATCGCCAATTGAGAGGTTGACGAGCACACCAAGGCCGACACCAGAGTTGCAGCAGAAGAAGTGGTCCCGGCTGGAAAGAAGGGCTTCGTCCTTGCTCTTGAATGCGTTGCCGCAGACGATGAAAGAGGAGGTGATTGCGGCGAAGTCCATCACAGCTTTGGGCATTTTGTTCCTCGTGCGATGCTGCAGTTTCAACCTGGAGGGCTGACAGAGAGAAGCGCTATTTTGACGGCGCTGGAAGCACCTATGGAAGCTGCAACCGTGGGTTCAGCCATCCAACAGCTGAGACGTTGGATGAGACGGAAGCGCCGGGCCCTTGAAGTTGGAGTTTCAATTCCAGACAGTTCAATTTTGATGAAGGGATTGGGACGTTTGGTGAGGAAAATTGTTTCCAGTTACCCAGATCTCAACTTCCGCTTGTCGTTGGTCAAGAGCTCATTGTTGGTGGAGACAGTTCCAACGTTGGAGACAGTGACCCAGTACAGCGAACACCTTCTTGCAGAGCTGGAGCAGATGGGACAGCAGGCAAAAAGGAAGGAAGTGATGGCAGAGAGCCAGCCAAAGGTGAAGAAGTTTGAGGAAGCCTCGGGAAGCAAGCCTGAAGAAAGGACCAGGCCGAAGGGAAGCCTCAAGAGGAGTTTGAAGGGAGGAGGAAACCATGTAGGTTTTACCTCACAGACTCAGGTTGCCGAAGAGGTAGAGGATGTCCTTTTGGACACCAGTTGGATGGAGAAAGAAGGTGTTGGACATGTGGAGGAAAGGACCATATGGCCGCAGCCTGTCCGACCACAGAGGAGCCCAAGCCGAAGGCAGCAAAGTTTGGTTCCAAGACTGCAGAGAAGGATGTGAAGTCCGCTACAACATCTCCTGAAAAGTCCGAGGAGCAGTCTGAGGCCACGGGTAATGGAGGAGAAGAAACTATGAAGTCGTTGCTGGATGAAGCAAGTCGGATGCTCAAATCAATGAATGAAGGAGATGTCAAAGAAAAGAGACAGAAAGGGGAGGACGCACAAGAAAGGATCTTGGGCCTACAGAAGCAGCTGGATGAGCTCAAGAAGGCTTCTATGCGACCCTTTCGCATCTCCAAGTTGTGCCCAATGGTGAACAAGGGCTTACTGGACTCAGGGGCAACACACCCTTTGCGAGCAAAAAGAAAGGGAGAACGTCTTCACCATCTACCAAAGGTCAAGGTGACGCTGGCAGGTGACAAGGAGATCTATATGGCACTCACTCCAACGGGAGTCATTGTGGGCGAAGAAGGCACGGAGCCCATAGTGCCCATGGGATTGCTGACTGCAGTCCTTGGATGTGAAATCTCATGGAAGCCAGAAGGTCTTCAGGTGGTGCACCCAGTGCTTGGCAAAGTTGGAGGTGGTGGTTGAAGCTGGATGTCCAATGGTATCACAGTCCACGGCCATGAAGCTCATCGAGGAGATTGAGGCCAAGGCCGTGAAGGTTGTGAAAAGTTTGAAAACGGGGGAGGACTCAGAAGAGGCATGGTTGAGAAGGTTGGTTGATGAACACCCAGCTCTTCAAGGAATCCCTGAGGAGGTAAAGAGAAGCTTGGTGGAGAAGCCTGCAACGGACATCCTACCGTTGGGAAACAGAAGAAGGAAACTTTGGAGGGCGAAGGGTATGATGATTCACGCCTTTTCGGGAAAGAATGAAGGCTACACATTGGGAAGGGCTTTTCATGAGATTGGAGGTGATCCTCGATTGATGTATGAGTTTGACATCACCCATGGAAAGCCTGAAGCAGATCTTTCACCTGAAGGTGAGGCCTACCCACTCTTGTTGAGGGCAGCTTTGGATGGATTGGTGAAGGGTTGGATAGCCGGGCCACCATGCAGGACCAGATCGGTTCTCAGACATCTTGAAGTTCCAGGGGAAGCCATGCCGAGGCCTCTGAGAAGTTGGAATGGAGGGGAGTTTGGCATAGAAGGGCTTTCGAACTTTGAGAAAGAGCAGGTCACCTTGGATGACACGTTGCTCATGCGGTTTTTGGTTCTCTACATTGTGTCAGAGACGGTGCGCAGAGCAGCTGGGCTAGAGACACCCACCACTTTGATCCTGGAGCAGCCTGCCTCACCTGAACACAAGCCTGAAGTGGTGTCGCTTTGGAGAACACCTCAATGGAAGAGCTTGGCCGAGATCTATGAGCTGCAGACCCAGCGTTTTGACCAGTCAGAGTTTGGGGCCATAGCTACAAAGCCAACGACTATAGGAGGAAATCTGCCACTTCAAGTACCGCTTCAAGGAAAGAAAGGGCAACCACGTGATGTCTCTGGAATGACCAAGGCAGAGATCTGCGAATCGTCCAGGAGATTGTCACGGTGGCCACCCTTGATGATGAGGTCCATTGCTGTTGCTCTCCAAACCTGCACCATGGGCGAAGAGGTCAAGTTACGGGCAGTTTCATGGCAGGAGCACATTGCAGCAGGCCATACTCCTTTTAGAAGAGATTGCAGAGTGTGCCAAGAGGCCTGTGCTCATCATCGGCGGCAGAAATTGCCACCAAAGGCGGGTGTCCTTAGTGTGGACATCTCAGGACCTTTCAAAGAAGCACCTGATTTGCAGAAGAAGAAGGCGAAGTATCTCCTGGTAGCCAGCTTCACTTGGACAGCCAGGAACCAAGATGGAGAGGAGGAGGTTGAGGAGATACCTGAAGTTCCCCCAGATGCGCCGGAGATTGAGGATCCAGAAGCAGAGGAGGAGCTACAGCAGATTGCAGATCAGGTTGAAAACCCAGAAGAAGGCCCAAAGGAGGACACATCAGAGGAGCTTGAAGAAAAACATCCGGTGAGGATTGAGTCATCAAGCTTTGCGAGCCTTTGGCATCAAGGAGCCAAGAGGATGTGTCCAGGGCGATCATCAACATGTACATGCGTCTGAGAGCAGACGGGTATCGAGTGACACAGCTGCATAGCGACAGAGGAGCTGAGTTCAGATCGAGGATTTTGGAAAAATGGTGCCTGTCACGCACCATCCTTCAGACGTTTACGCCTGGGGATCAGCCCCAAATGAATGGACGTTGTGAAGCGATTGTCCAGCACATCAAGGCAGCCATCAGGCGGACACTTCATGGAGCTGAAGCACCTTTTGATCGCTGGCCAATTGCAGCTCGCTTCATCAATGAGAAGTTGCGACAGAAGCAGGTTGACAAGGAGAAAAAGACACCGCCTTTCTTGGCGCAAGTTTTGGTCAGAAAGAGGTTTTGGAGATCACGAGAACTGGAACCAACACAGGAGAAGGTCACTTACCTATGTCCTTCTTGGGTTCATCATGGGCATTGGATTGAAAGGGCAGATGGAACTCAGGCGCTGACGAAGATGGTCATGCAGGGCTTGAGTGAACCACCAAAGTTGGAGGATTGGATTGGAGTTGAAGATGCCTTGAACCCAATCGAAGAGAGGAGAAGAATCAGACACAAAGCGTCCATATACATGCTGGAGGTTGAGGACGCCGCGGAAGCAGATGAACTTGAGAACCAAGAAGGAGATGGCAGATCACCAAGTTTTGAGGAGGAAGAAAGGGATGCATGGGCCAAGAAACAAAGGGTCCAACGTTTGATAGAAGAGGAGATGGTTGAGGCCATGGAAGATGATGAGAAAGTTGCTGGCATGGTGCTGGATTCCATCACCATGGTCAAAGAGTTGATTGGACCTGAGAAAGGAGAAGAAGTTTTGCAGACACGCATTGTGTCACAAGCTGAAGTTCGCCGTTCCATTGAGGTTTGGAGGCCATCCATCGAGAAAGAGCTGACCTCCTTGTTTGAGACGAAAGGGGCGCTGAGAAAGATCACAGAAGCTGAGGTGAAGAAGCTGCTTGACGAAGATCGAGCAGAACTTATCCCTAGCAAGCTAGTCTTCACAGTGCAGCCAGATCAGACCAACAAGGGTGGCAAGAAAAAGACACGATTGGTGGCTTGTGGGAACTTCTCAGAAAGAGAAGAAGGGCAAGATCTCTTTGCAGGCGGAGCATCAGCAGTGGCACTTCGAGCTGCATTGACGGTGGCATCACAATTTAGTTTTGAAGGGAGCGTCATGGATGTGAGGACAGCATTTTTAAATGCTCCAATGGTTTTGTCCGGGTCAAAGGATGAGAATGGGGAGAAGATGGAGCCTAGAAGAGCCATCATCCGCCCTCCTGCTCTTCTCATTTTGGCTGGATTGGCCAAGCCAGACGAATTCTACGAGGTCATCATGGCCCTCTACGGCTACAAGGAGTCACCCAAATTGTGGTCAGACTACCGTGATCAGGAGATTGCAAAGATGGAGTTACCATGCGAGGGTGGCATTTTGACCTTGCAGCAAATGATCACGGAGCCAAACATGTGGAGAATGATGCTGAAGCAACCAGGTCCCAACTTGCAGACGAATGAGGAAGAGTTTGTGGGACTACTTTTGGTCTATGTGGATGATCTTCTGGTCCTTGGCTTTCCCTCATCCATCGCTGCAGTCATTCAAGGGGTGCAGGCGAAATGGGAGACATCGGAGCCAGAGACCATCAACATGCAGAAGGAGGTGAGATTTTTGGGCGCGGAGCTATGGAGAAGAGAAGATGGAGCCTGGTTGATGACGCAGACAAACTACATCAAGGACTTGCTGAAAAGAAATCTTGGAGCAGATCCCACTACGTGGCCGACTAGAAAGATTCCTTTGGTGAAGGAGCCCGAGGTCATTGAAGGTGAGGAGAAGACTCCAATGGCAGTCAAAGAAGCCCAGCGAGTCATTGGTGAATTGGTTTGGATCACTGCCAGGTCCAGGCCTGATTTGGCTTTCACTGTCTCCAAGCTGGCGTCATTGATCACAAAGTCACCTATGCAGGTTGTGCAGTTGGTGAAATCAGTGTGGTACTATTTGGCAGCCACCATGGACCAAGATTTGATTTTTCAGAACAACATGGGCGAGAAGCAGCTCAATGTGTACACGGATGCATCATATAGCGATATCTCATTTGGATGCCATTTGATCCTTTGGGGATCGTCGCTGTTGCTCTGGAAGGCTGGCAAGCAGCCCATTCAAGCTGCATCGACGGCCGAGGCCGAACTTGTGGAGGTGCTTGAAGGAGCATTGGCGGGAGATGCTGTCAAAGTCGTTTTGGAGGAGGCATTGGATGTTTGTGCTAGGTCATTTTCCTACACAGACAGCTCAGCGGCATTAGCCATCATTGCCGGAGATACTGGATCTTGGCGGACGCGCCATTTGCGGAAAAGGGCCTTCATTTTGCGCTCAAGAGTTTTGTCTGGGGAATGGATGCTCCGGCATTTGCCTGGAGCTGAGATGCCAGCTGACCTGGGCACCAAAGTTTTATCGGTGCAGAAGTTCAACCAGCACAAAGAAACCATGGGCATGTTTTTGGAAGGTTGGAAAGTTTTGGAAAAGATAGGAGACGGAGAACAGAATGAAACCACTTTTGGGATGACACAAGAAGCACGTGAGAAAGCGTTGAAGATCATCATTTTGGTGACACAATTGGCGCTCGCAGGAGCATCGAATGAGGAGAAAAAAGATATTTCAAATGCTTTGGTCATTCAAGACCTCAATCCAGTTTTGCAGCAGAGAGACGGTCAGTTTTATTTCATCATGTTTGTGGCTGTGATCCTTTTTGCCGGTTTCATCATTGGAGCATGCGTCATGGGCATTTTCATGTGGCACAGAGTTGACAAGCTCACTGTTGTCAAATACAAAGGTTCATTGCTGAACGTGCCTGCGTTTTTGTGGCATGCGCCAGAAAGAGATGAGGATGAAAGAAATCAGCAGCAACGTGATCCAACTGTCAGGCCAAATTGGTTGCCTTCTACGGCTGCTGGCGCTGCGGGCGCTTCACCTACGGCTGTTGGCCGTGCTGCTGGCGCTGCGGGCGCTGGATCTGCGGCTGCTGGCGCTGCAGGCGCTTCATCTACGGCTGCTGGCCGTGCTGCTGGCGCTGCAGGCGCTTCATCTACGGCTGCTGGCCGTGCTGCTGGGGCTGCGGGCGCTTCATCTAGTGCTGCTGGCCGTGCTGCTGGCGCTGCGGGCACTTCATCTACGGCTGCTGGCTGTGCTGCTGACGCTGCTGGCGATGGAAATACGGCTGCTGGCCGTGCTGCGGGCGCTGCGTCCACAGCTGCTGGCAGTGCTGATGGCGCTCCAAGAAGTTATGGAGCAGCTGGCATTCCTAGCGCTGCAGCTGGCGCGGCAGATGGCGGCGCAGCGGCGCGTGAGCCGGCGAACATGTTGAGATCAAGAGGATCTCGTTCCCAAAGAGGACCAAAACCCCTTTTCACCACGCCATTTGGTGGAAGATACCACTGTGACCGTGAATGCCATGGTCTTAGACATGCCAAGGAAGTTTGTCTGACGCCACGATGTCACAGATGTGGCCCACAGTCAGACGTTCC